ATATTGAACTTTTAAAAGTATGTTTATCATCATTTTTACCTGTATAAAAATGATTTTTTGTGGACCGAATCAGTCAACCAAATGATTCATCCTTGTTTCACTTTCAATGTTGACATTATTTTCCTTTTAATAGCTGAATACATGCGTAATCCATGTCCAGCTAAGGGGTTATATTGAAGGTCACACGAATACGGATTCAATGCGGTCGAATTATTCACTTGCAAGTGAATAATTCATCAGCGATGTTTCTTAGCTTATTTTTTACAAAATTGAACCAAATTGGCTGCTAAAAGCGAATTATTATTTCAGTATTTCACTTTCATTAATGTTGAACAAACACAAATCATATATTGTATTTTTTTTTATCTCGTAGCTAATGCCCCTTTAATTCACGAATGCATGTAGCAAATGAGTTAATTATCAGTGAAGCTCGGTCACAATTTGAATATTTTCGATATTTTAATTCTTCGATTAGTTTTTCTTTTTATTATATTGATTACCGACTTTTTAGTGGAAATAGAGTAAACTAGAGGCTCTTTAGAGCCTGTGTCGCTCACCTAGGTTTATTAGCATCCTCCAAAATGGACACTCTTCAACATTGTGGACTAGAATAGAATTCATGCCAAAAATCTCTTGTCTTGTTAATAATTTTGCTATATATATATACGGTGGCTATCTATCAAAAAAAGTTTTCAAGATAATCAGCAGAACACTAAAAAAGGATAAAAATCGTCATTAAAGAACAATAATTAAAATAAGGCGTGAACTGATAATTACGGCCAGTAGACTTATTTGTAGATGTTGTCTTGCTGGTCAGTTTTGCTTATTTAAGTTGCTATCTATCTTTTATAGTTTTTCAGATATTAAGCCAAAAAAAATAAAAAATTGTTAAAAACGTCATTAAAAGGGGTAATAACTCCAATAAGGGGCAAATGATTTCAATCGTGTTCCCCCAATTTGTATCTTATCTTGCTGATCATTTTTGCTATATAAAGTGTCTCTCTATCTATTATAATTTTCAATACAATAGGCAAAAATGAGAAAAAAATGGTACAAATTTGTTGTTTAAGGGCAATAACTCCTACAAGAAGTCGTCTGACAGTTTTCATGCCAATTGTCATTAGGTGGATCTCATCATTGTTAACATTTTTACATTGTCAGATTTTCTCTATCTATAGCGGTTTTTAAGATAAAAGACAAAATTTTGCAATTAACACCCTATTTTCTATTATTAGCCATGTCGGCCATGTTTGTCGGCAGGAGGGGTCATCAGGCACATTTTTAAAACAAGATACCCCATTAATGATTGTTGCCAAGTTTGGTTAAATTTGGCCCAGAAGTTTCAGAGGAGATGATCTTTGTAAAAGTTAACGAACGACGACAACAAACGACGGACGCCAAGTGATGACGCCTTCGGGCAAGGTGAGTTAAAAATTAAGGGAACCATATCTTTTCTACGCATCTCAACTGTTTCATGGAACGACAAAGGCAACGTTTTGACATCACCCATTGTTTTATGACGTCAGAGGAGTGAAAGTATCAGATTTATTTCACATGTGAAATAATCAGTTTTTATTTCACTCGGATATCATGGTAACTAATTGCAAGCAATGTAATAAACACATATAAAGTTGAATGATTGTATCAAATTCAATTGCTTTAACTGTTCATACAGTAATTTATAGATTATTTCAATTATTATCAAAATGAAAAAGTATTCATTCATGTTACAAAATTTATTCTCCGTCAGGGAAATATGTACTGGCATCCCAACGAAGATACAACAAAATACTAAAGAGATAGCAAAATAGACGAGGACACTATAGTATAATACATAAGTGATAAAAATGTTTGTTTTTTGGTATGTATGATTCTTATTTGTTGAAACCATTGACTCGTTACACACACCTGCTTTTTATATAGCTGTGTCATCAGTATTTTTTGTAATAACGAGTTCTCAACTAAGTCAATTATGAGTTGAATGAATGAGAATAATAAAGTGAACCACATCAACAAAACTACATGGCATTCCTGATATCAGCATCTGGTCGTAATATGGTAAATATAATGGAAAAGTTATAATAAATTATACAAACAATTGTACTTATTGTAAATTTTTTCTCGTCCTGAACATGCATGAAATATTTGCCACTGTGCGCTTAGAAAACAACAGTTAATCATAATGCACGTGCATTAATACTAATCTGTTTAGTTATTTCTGTCTCACTTTTTTAGTAAAAAGAATATTCAGGAACCTGAGCTCACTTTTGAACGCTGAAATTCTCAACTGCATTTTTTATGAATGGCAGATGTTTAAAAAGTAAAACTTGTTGTATTCTAAATCCTTTCAGTTGCTGACTTTAATTTTATATTAAGCCAACAAAACACACACACGCTTTTACTTCGAATGATAATTCACCCGGGCTTAACAAGTACGAGTTATGAAAATGTCCGTGCGAAAATCAAGAAACAATTTTAGATTTTTGATTATACCAGTTAACGCGTGTGTCTGTGTACTTGATATTCATCTCAGAAGGAACAAGAGCCAAAACATTGCTAGGCCCATTCGTTTGTTTTTCAGATTGGGGCTGATATTCGTTTTTCATGACGAAAAGAAAGGGGGCGAAAATCAAGTAAGAAGCCAAAATTTGAAGGAAATAATACAGGTGACTATATGCTTTAAAATGCTAATAATAATCAGAGCGACTGACAAAACCATAAATGATTGGGGCAATTAAGCTAAAACTCCTATATGTTACAGGCATTTTCTTGATTTAGGCATTTTGTAAAATGCCTGAACAGTTTAGGCATTTTCTAAAATGCCTGTAAAATTTAGGCAATTTGTATATTGACTATTTTTTTCAGGCGTTTTACATAATGCCTACAAAATTTGAAAGGCATTTTACAAAATGCCTGAATTATTTTAAAAACTTATAAATGAAATGTTCACAAAAACTGAGCCATTGAAAGTATAGAACAGCACAGACGTTTTATCTATGGTAATAACTGATTTTTGACGCTGCACTCAAAGAGATTTAAGTATCAAAAATAAATTCAACTAAATTATTTAAAATTCCGACACGTACTAAACTCAACAATTATTTGTTATTTCATGAAATATTTGGATGGCAGGTTATGTTGCACATTTGTCCTGATTTGTTGGCTAATACATCGTTTTGCGTTTAAAATGGTCTTAGCACTACAACTTCATTTGGTGAAACCAGGACCATGACACTTTCAGCTCTGTCAACATTTAAACGTTTGAAAAACATGTGGTTTCGACAACAGCCCACACATGAATATATTGTCCTGTGTTTTCAAAAGATTTGAAGTATTATAAACGTGATTAGGTTAACTTACATCTTTTGGGTTATCAGAGCATTCACCAGGCTGAATCAGATATTCGCATAATGGGTGATGCATGTATAGCAGGAGATGCTTAACATTTTGACGGACTTTGATTTATCTCTTCTTGTATCATTACTTTATTATAACATCAATACGCTATTGTCGCCTTACATTGTAATTCATCAGATTATATTGTAATAACTGGCCTGACAGGTGTCTCTTTAACTATGCTGCCACCACCTTCGTTTACAGGTACACAGGGGACCTTAATAGACTAGAAATAGCTAGTCTAAGACAGAGAATGGTTTAAACACGGTGTCCTATCTTTATTATTTATTTAGATGTAATTATCTCATGGGGAGGGACTTTAACTAGGTTAAAGGGGTCAAAACACCTCAGAAATATTTAATCTCAATATTAAAACGAGTGAATAACTCAAATAGGGGGAACGAAAAGGGTTTGGGATATTCAAACACGCTCTAGTCTGTGGAAATGAACACACTCCTGTCGTGTAGTTTATAGAACAGATTGTCTCTGTAAGGTAGAGGATGAACCTCTAAATTGTCAACATATAAACTATCAGTCAAGAAGTGGAAACGCAAGGAACGGTACCAACAGACTATCACATAAATGAATATCTTCTGTCTGACAATCAAATAGTCTCTTGTCTAGGCGTAGCAAGAGGGTCTATTCTCCCATGAGACAGTGTTATGACACCAACAACCAGAAACCAAGTTGGACTACTATTATGTAAGTTTACTGATGAATAAATAAGATATTTAAGAGCATAATTTTGTATTATTGGTAAAGCATTTCATACAGATATCACAGTGAACCAAATTACAGTTTTAACAGCTTCTCAGACGTGTATAAATATATTTCTAACTATTAATGTATCAAGTTATTTGCCACAGTGTTCAACCAACTAACCAATAATTTATATATCATATCTTTGTTTACATATATATATCATCTAATAAATTATATATTTAAAATAACTGTACTTTGTTATTATTCAATTAACCTCAGCCTCCTGGACTGGAGTAAGCACAGGAAGGCAGTCTTCAATCACATTTGAGATTGAGAGTATTTAAAAGAGAAATTTAATTGTCCTAGCTTCTTACTATTCCTATCTTAGTAAGTATACAGAAATTATTTATGTTCTCTCTGATTACTGGAGCAACTCAGCAAACAGGATACTTAACAATATGTCTTAACCAAAAATGGAGAGAAAATGGGGGATGGGGAAGGCATGTAACTTTATTCCGTTTTGTCTCAAAGAAAACAGGTTAGCAAATGAAAACTAGCCTGAATAAATAGACCCGCTATTTATATTTACAATTGAATTAAATCCATTTTTGATTCTGATCTAAGTCCAAAATACTAGACTTATAGTGAACAGAAAATGTCCAAATATTTGGTAATTAAGAAAAGTCAACTGCACTAAACAATTGAAAAACTACACAAATGTGTATTTAAAAAGCCAAATATTCTAAACTGCAGTGAAACTGCTTAAAATCTCATGAAATTCATGATAAAAATATGCGAATGTGAAATATACGACAGTAAAAACTGACCGAAAATCTGGCAACGTATCTGTTGGTCTGACTTAGGAGGAAGAGCCCCCGGCAAACGGTTGCAGGGTTTTTATACTCCGATGGGCTTAACAAGGCAATGAACGGTTTAAACGGGGTTGCAACGGGGAAACGAACGGGAAACTGGAAACGGGCCTGACAAGTACGAAAAAGAATCCCCGATTGCTAGAAATAAGTACATTAAAACATAAACGACATGTTTACGGAACATAAAAATCATCTTATTACAATTAACAATCATAATTAATACCGTTTTAATACAATAATCATGTAAAAATCGATCTACAATCGCTATAGTATTCATACACTGTTTTGCGGTTGTGGTACATAAAGTTCACCTGAGGTTACACACAGTCAACCTAATTTGCATAATCAATACACAAAAATCACTGTGCCGGAAATGGCTGCTGATGTACGAAAGTGAAAGTTAGCTACATAAGTTATCACGATTATACATAAATGTAAAAATGGTTGAACACTGGGAAAACGGAATGATTAGAACACTGAAAGCATAATGAATTGAATTAGAAAGGTGAGCACCGGTGTCAAACTTTAAAATAGCCAAAAATCGACTCGTAGCCGAAAGCAGGTGCTTGAAAGTACAAACACATGTTTTTCAAAGGAATTGGCAATTGCGCTTGGCCAAGTCATTACAATATAGACCTAACAATGTCCTTGAGGCAGTGATGATACTCATATCTTTACTTCAAAACCAAACATGACCTTGTACGGTGAAATCAATGCTTTAGAATGGAATTCGTTTTGTTGTGCAGCATGAATAAATATGATGCCTTTTGTATGAAAAGTGTCACGCTCTCTGAACGTTAAGAACTCTTCCTTCCAGGTGGCCTGTTGGACGATAACATCTGTTCCTATCCAACATACCTTCTTTTTAAGAGGCAGTCAAAATGCCTGTCCTTTAAACAAAGTTTGGAGACTTATTGGTTTTGCTCAGTTCTTATTATTTTCTTTATTATTATTATTATTCACTCTTCTTTTTCTTCTGCCGCTTTTAAAATTTAACTGGTCGCACCCGTTCTTGTCAGATTAACTTAGGGTTCCACAATATGTTAGACTAACATGTCTAGTGATGCAATCACAGTTTTTTGGTGCAATGGGGTTTATAAAGGGGTACTTTGAAAGGCAAAAAGAAAAGAGGGGTTTACTAAAGAACCCTATGGGATTTCATTTTTTTTATTTTCAAATGATTATAACTTGAAAACAACAGTTAGTGATAAACACATGGGGTCTTCAGTAATGACCATGAGAACATATGATCTACTAAAAGGTCAAAAGGTCAATGGTCAATTATAACCTTGACCTGTGACCTTGAACTCTTTTTTTTCAATTTATTCAATAGGGAGAGTGCTTAGGGGTTTTTATTTATGGGGATTTGTTTGTGAGACTTCATAACAGCATCCTGTTACAATCATTTTTTTTTTTTTTCAATTGGTTCTCGCCCTGAATAAACATAAAATATTTGCCACTGAACGCAAACAAACGGCAAGAATCAGTCAATCAAACAATGGCCTTCTTTTCTCTGTTTCATATTTCACACATTTGTTATAAATCTAGATTTTCTAAAAATTGTTTGTCAATTTTTTTTTAATATAAGAACAATTTGTCCTTCTGTCACCATAACAATAAAGTCATAAAATTACTATATGAAATACAAAGTAAGTACAAACGTAAAGTAGTTTCACTTAAAAAAAACCTATGACATACATACAAACTTTCCAAGTTGGTATTTGAAGAATAAACTTAATTTTTCTGTACCATTATGTATTTTCTTTGCAATATATTGTGTGTTTGGTCATATCTCAATGGTACTAATTTTTTTTACAAATTACTTGAAACTGAATAGGCAAATTGTTGAATTTTACAAAATGACTAGGTATTTTTAGTCATTTTATATAATGCCTGTCAAGGTAAGGCATTCTGTAAATTGCCTGAAAATTCAGTCATTTTACAAAATGCCTAGATTAAGAAAATGGCTGTAACATATACATAAAATCTAAATAAACTTAATTGAAGAAATAAAACGGTTGATGAGTATTGTCCGTCATTGTTCACACCTCAACATCAAAAAATCGAATTCGAAATAACCGATGGGTAATTAGTTTCATGTTCATTGTATAAAAATGTCCTTTATCCGTAAGGTAAATCTGTTGTATTGGAAATAGAATGGCAAGTTTATTATTAGTACTATTTGATAGACTTATTGGTTAATCAAAATTTTAATTATACTCTTTCTAGTGCACCATTTTTGTCAACCTCAAGACACCCCCTCAATCCGCCTCTGGTCATATCCTAATACAAACACATATGGCTTTATTATATACCAGCATGAAGTTAAAGCAAAGTTCAAAATCTAGAACGTCAAATATACCTCAATTCAAGGTCATCGGTCATCTCAAATCAAATTACCCTCTCACTTTTATTAATGGTTGAGGAGTAATGCTGTTAAACAGCTCATTTCAAATATTTAAGGGGAGAACACTCTTATAAAAGTCAACAAAACACTTCGACCCAAATGTATAAAAATTGCAACATGTCGTAACCAAAAATTTGATAAAATCTTTTGTCTATAACTCTTGTGGTTTCCAAAGATTAGCGATAACAAGCTAACTTATAAATTTAGGATGTGACTTTGACCTTACATCCTTTTGTGGATCAAGCATCTCAAATCTAAAGACCCTAGATTTCTACCACTTTAAGTTCATGAGTTACACTAATATACTCCGTATGTCAAATATAGAAAGGAACATAACTCTCATATGGAGTCTTAAAATTGAGCATAACATTCTGAGGATATAACGAGCAATATTGAAAACAAAAATTGTCGATTTCTTTTACGGATGCAAAAGAGAGTATCGATAACAAGAAAAAATGAGTACGTGCAGATAACTCTCATAGGAACAAATGTATGGTTACACAGGGTAAAATAAAGGGGGGAACTCCTATAAAAGCTCACCAAAACACTTGACTCAAATGCATCAAAGTTTCATCATGGCGTAACCAATTATTTGGAAAAGCTTTTTATTGTTCACTGTTACAATTTCTGAGGAAAAAGGATTACAAACAAAATTTTAAATTCAGAACGTGACCTTGAACTTGAACTTTACTTAACTTCCTGCTAATGGACAAAAAAACAACATATCAAATGATTAAATGGTCTCTATGACTTACAGTGCACGCGTTAATTCGACATATCTCCTATGTCAAATTTGAAATGGGAAATAACTCCAATTAGACGTCATTGGATCGCTTCGGTTAAAATTGACCACTTAGTCTAAATGAACATTTTTGAATTAAAACTTTGTAGATATCTTTTGTGGATAAAGAGAAATCAAAATTATGATAAACATTTCTTATAATGGACAAAGGACTTCATGTAAAAAGACCCTAGGTCTAAAAAATCACTAATAGTGCATGAGTTATACTTATTACCTAAAATCACCCCCGGATTTTGGTGAGGTTTGTGTTGCTCAGTCTTTGGTTTTCTATGTGGTGTTTTGTGTATTGTTGTTTGTCTTTTCGTCGTTTTTCGTTTTAGCCATGGTATTGGCAATTTGTTGTTAACTTATGAGTTTGAATACCCCTTTGGTATATTTTACCTCTTTTGTATGTCAATTACAGAAAAAAAAATCAAAAAACAATCAAAAGGTATTTTCACAGGAAATGGAAAGACCCTAAAAATAATAATAAATAATCAGAAAGATCTTATAAAAAAGATTAACGGGAAAATATTATAATCCTAAATTTAAAAGGTTGATAATGAGTTAAATAATGCATTATATTCTCTAAGTACTCTAAGTTTTTTTTTTTCAACCAAAATAATTTATGCACATCGGTCTGTTTTTGTAACCCTTAAGTGTATTCGTTTGGACACTTTTGAAAAGCTTACTCATCCAATTTTCCTTACTTAATTTGTGCTTTCTAAACTTCGACATTTTGCTACAATTCATTATGTATATTCTTACGGAAATGATTTTGTAAAGTTACGTTTGAATATTTCATGAAAACTACTACCAACCAACACATTTTACATAAACACTTTTGTATGTTTCTTTTTCTTTAAAAATAAATAGTCTCGCCACTTCTCAGACCAAATCACGCACTTCATATGGTAAAGGGTCAAAGATCAAACTTGAAATAAAGGATGTCATAAATTATGTTACCTATATTCTGCTTTTTTTCAGATGTGATGGTTGTAGTGGTCTACATGTGTACCAGGATGTTATCTTCTTCAATGTTTTTCGCCTTGTGTTGCCAACACTGGATTTTTTTAAAATTGCATCAAATTGACAAAATATTTTATAACCATCTAAATACAACGTATCATAACATATGTTTTAATATATAGTTAGATAGAAAGGATTTAGGGTGTAAAAAATTTAAATAAAATGTTTAGTGCTTTTCATTAACAAATGATAACACATAGATTAAAAAACATGAAATTTGCAGAAATTCTATTTTGATTATGACTTCAGGAATTTTAAGTTATACTGTGAATCCTTCTTACAATTTTTTTGGTTATTTTGATAGTCGTTCACAGGACGGCATTTCATATCGTAATAAGGAAGATGTCTTAGAAAAACAAAGTTCAAAATGTTTTTGAAATGTGCATCTCTTTTTTCCATACGTTTACTTACTGTGACTTCATTATAATTGTTTATCTCCACCTATTGCAGTTGATTCAAAATTCTGACTTAATTACTTTTTCTTTCAAATCGAACTGTTCAACTGGTCACAAATCTTAACCTACTACAAAGTCAAGTCAACAAAGAGATAAAATAAAGCATCCTTACAATCCTATGAGACTTTTCTTTAAATAGTAATTTTGTAATTCCAGTCCTATTTAAGACTTAAATTCCACTTTTGAGCTGCTATCAAGTATGGTTTCTAGTCATTGGAAGGTGAGGTTGTTATTTTTTAATTGATATAAAAGTGTCGAATTTAATTTTCATTCTATTACTTTTACAAAACGTTTCCTATATATTTCTAAAAAATCAGACAACACATGCAATATTCAGTAAAATATATGTAAATCTACAGTTTGTTGTAAATTAATTGCCATTAAAGTTAATCTAAAATCATCGATCCCCCTTTTTGAAATATTGATCTTATATTCCCTTAAGTGATGGATGCCACATGTGAAGCCTGGTCTGCTCATCCTTCCGGAGCACCTGAGAGCACCCCGGTTTTTTGTAGGTTTCGTGTTGCTCAGTCTGCAGTTTTCTATGTTGTGTTGGGGTTGTCAGTTTATTTTCGATTTTTGTTCGAATGTCCCTTTGGTATCTTTCGCCTCTCTTTTAAGCTAAAAGTATATTTCACCAATTATTTCATATTCTAATTTTAAGACAGCTTTGTAGCATGCATAGAAAAACAACATTTTAGGAGAAATAGTTCATTGTTATTCAAAATATCAAATTTGACATTTTTTTAGCCTTTCAAAAATTATTAATTGACCTTTCAAATGACTCATTACAATACAAATGTGTTAAACAAAATTAAGGCAACATGTTTATAGTTCTCATTTTAAGTGTAAATACAAACATTAAAGGATTTTAAGTATGCTTTATTTTATTACTTTGCACTTTGTTGACTTGACTTTGCAGTTGGTTAAAAGTTTTGACCAGTTGAACAATATGATTTGATTAAACAAATTGCATTTGGTCGGAGCATTTTTGAACTGCATTACGTTTGAGAGAAACCTTTATAATCACGTCATGGTAAAGACAATTTACATTGCTTCTTGATGTCTGTTTTCTTTTCATCTTAGAATACCATACCACGTTTTTAAGTATGCTGTGTTAGCACCAGAGCTAACCCCTGGTTTGCATCACCCATCACCCAATCTTTAGTTTTTGTAGTGTTTTGTGGCTTGTGTGTATGTCTGTTCGTCTTTTCTTTTCCTTTTGCATTGAATTATGGGTGTTGATTGCCCACTTTGGTTTTTACCTCTAATAGTGCAGTCAACTCTCATAACTCGAAGAAAAACAAGTTTCAAATAAATTTCGTTTTACTTTAAGAAATCCTCTTAGTTACTATTAGGAATTCCTTTCCAGAGGGACAATTTCCATAAAAAGTTTTATTCATAAACGTAAAGATAAGAAGGCTGTGTAAATTATATACATCTCTGAAAACTAAATTGATCCTATCATTTCTACTATGTTGAATGTTTTTATCAAGAATATTGATGACTTGCATTTCCTCCTCGAGAGTTATACCGTAAAACCAGTACTTTATTACAAATTTTGGCCACAGAATGTCATACTTACCCATCACTATATCACAAAATGAGGAAAAGCGTTTGTCGGTCATTTTGAGAATTAGTGCTTAAAAATGAAAGGAGATCTCTGTAGACAGGAATCATAAATACAATATAAAAACAGAATAGAACGCAATGACGCAACATGTGGTCTTATAGAAATATCATCAGTCAAAAAAGGACTGATAACACCGGGCAAACCAGAGTACATTTTATTAGGTAACATGAACACCACCAAAACATTAGGGGGAATTCAGTTGCTTCTGAAAAATAATAATTTCTGTTCTGTCTTACTAGTGGCATTCTTAGTAAAAACGCAGCGACAAGTCGAATTTGGTTATGTCATAAACAAGGGAAAGAAGATGGGATTGTTGTTATCACAAGTGGAAGATAAATATGGAAATCATGATAGAACATGCCCTTGAATAGTGTATCATCTGTGAAGATACGTACTCCATATATGCAGGCGCTTCTGGTATACTGCTGCACGGAAAGGAATTAACAGTTCGCAGTGGGGAAATGTATTCGTACAGGTTAGTTCTCAAGGCACCTCGTCGTCAATTTCATGATGTAAGCAGACCTCAGTGTTTCTGTGATATAGGTTAAATTTGACCGATTCGATCGAACCTTAAATAGTTTAGGAGAGTATATCACCCATCTAGCGAAACGTGCAGTCAAATGGTATCGTCATTTCTAGAAAAACCATGTAGAAATTCTGCTACATTGAAACTATGGAAAGATCGGCAAGAACAGGAACACAGTTGGTGTTCATTTAAGAATGCCGACTGTATATTGAAACACATGTCATCCAAAAGTAACAAGGCCATGTTCATACTTAACGTGACATATCGCAAACCTGTATACAGTAAGTTTCCTGTAACACTGTTTTCACATTAGATTTAAAACATTTATGCATCGGTTTTAATTACCTTTTATACGAGTAAACGAAAACAAATTTAAAAGTACGTTACATAGAAATGAATAGAAAATTTCTCTTGTCAAATTTTGTAGCAGTAAGCCACCGACTATTCCTTTTTCCCAGTTAAGGACTTATTGGGGCCATGCAATTTTATAAATGATGAGTTTGAATCAAAATTTCATGAAAAAAAATATTTGTTTCAGGTGTAATACCACCATTGATTTTCCCCTATTAGTCTTTGTTAAATTTGCACTTTTCAAAAAATTGTGCAGAATTTATCTTTGTTTCAAATAAAGAAATACTTGGCATGAGTAAAGTTTTATCCTGTCCAGTACTATAGAAAAAATTTCACATAACATTTCATTGCATATAAGAAAATAACCATCACTGGAAGTTAACCAATCAAATTTTCCCCCTTTTTTAACCTGTGTACAAGCTTTAGTAACCATGTAACCTCAAGTTTCCAAAATATTCTATAGAAACCCCAAATAAAGAAATAATGGTGCTTTGAAATACCCAAGATATATGTTTATGACTCAGAAATGTTTTACTGCAATGAAATGTAGGATCAATTACCTACAACTGTCAAATTCAAGGGAATATTTTTTTTCGACCTATTTTCGTATGCAACCGGATGTGACGTACTATGATTTGGTGGTATTACACCTTCAGAAGAAAGTGAAAAAATAGACTGTTTCCTTTAAAAAATAAGTAAAATATATAATAAATCAATTGAGTTTCAAAAAAAAAGTAATTTGTTTTTGATAAATTCTAGAGAGAGAAAAATTGTCCCAAGAGAGGAAAAACCTGCATGTCTCTTCACGTGGTCCTGCTGCCATACATTTATAAATGCCACAGTTTCTGTGAGTGCGTCCAATTAATGTTTCTATCGTAATTATTTATAATATAAAATTCACGTTCTGAATATATAAATAAGAAGATGTGGTGTGAGTGCCAATGAGACAACTCTCCATCCAAGTCACAATGTATAAAAAGTTAACAATTATAGGTCAAAGTACGGCCTTCAACACGGAGCCTTGGCTCACACCGAACAGAAAGCTATAAAGGGCCCCAAAACGAGAAACGAGAAACACTTATGAACCACACCAACAAACGACAACCACTGAACAACAGGCTCCTGACTTAGGACAGGTGCATAAAAATGCCGCGGGTTTAAACGTTTAAACAGGCGCCAACCTTCACCCAATCCTGAAAAAGTAGTGTAACATTACAATATAAAAAGACACACTATAAAATATCAATTGATATAGCTTAACTCAATCAAAGAGACGTTTAAAAAAAATCAAGTAATCATACACTGAACGAATAAGTTTGATCTATGACACAATGTCTAGTTTTATGTAAAAACAAAGGCCTGCGGTGACTATCGATTTCATGTAATCAAAACCTGATTTAAACTAAAAAGTACATGTAAACGTTGATATTTATAAATAGGATTGTAGAAAAGTTAAGTTTATTTCGTGTTAATGATACCAACACCACACCGAGTTTATCTCAATGTGAATACGGCAAAATATGAAATTAAGTATTTTGATGTTAGTTTTTTTTTTATTTTTTGCTTGAATCAAAGATATTTTTACCAAGTGTAATTTCTTCCGTTGCTTATACAAGATATTGTATCTACGATGTTGATTCTTTTTTTAAAACAAATCTGGACTTTTTCTCTCAATCAGTATTTACGTTAAGAATAAGGAATACTTGTTTAAAGATAAGAACAATCAATCGTTTTTATACGACCGCAAAAAAATTTTTGTGGTCGTATACTGGTATGACGTTGGCGTCGTCGTCGTCGTCGTCGTCGTCGTCGTCTGGCGTCGTCCGGTGTCGTCCGAAGACACATTGGTTTTCGCACTCTAACTTTAGTTTAAGTGAATGGATCTCTATGAAATTTTACTACAAGGTTCAATACCACAAAAGGAAGGTTGGGATTGATTTTGGGGGTTATGGTACCAACAGTAAAGGAATTAGGGGCCAAAAAGGGGCCAAAAATAAGCATTTTTGTAACTTCCAGACATAACTTGTGTGTTAGTGTATGGATCTCTCTGACATTGTACCACAAGGTTCCATATCACAAAAGGAATGCTGGGATTGATTTTGGGGGTAATTGCCTCATATTATTAGGAATTAGGGGCCAAAAAAGGGGCAAAAAAACAAGCATTTTTCTAGTTTCATGACAATAACTTGTGTGTAAGTGCATGGATCTTTCTGAAATTGTACTACAAGGTTCCATATCACAAAGGAAAAGCTGGAATTGAGTTTGGGGGTAATTGCTGAAACGTTTAGGAATTGGGGGCCAAAAAGGGGCCAAAAATAAGCATTTTTCTAGTTTCCAGACAATAACTTGTGTTCAAGTGTATGGATCTCTCTGAAATTGTACTGCAAGGTACCATACCACAAAGGGAAGGCTGGGATTGATGATGGGGGTAATTGCCTCAATATTTTAGGAATTAGGGGCCAAAAAGGGACAAAAAACAAGCATTTTTCTAGTTTCAGGACAATAACTTGTGTTCAAGTGTATGGATCTTTCTGATATTGTACTACAAGGTTCCATATCACAAAGGGAAAGCTGGGTTTGAGTTTGGGGGTAATTGCCCTAATTGTTTAGGAATTTGGGGCCAAAAAGGGGCCAAAAAACACATTTTTCTAGTTTCCAGACAATAACTTGTGTTCAAGTGTATGGATCTCTCTGAAATTGTACTGCAAGGTACCATACCACAAAGGGAAGGCTGGGATTGAGTTTGGGGGTGATGAATCATAAGGGGGTTCAAAAAATTTGGGGGGGGGGGGGGATTTTTTTTTTTTTTCCTTTTTTTTCTTTTTTTCCTTTTTTTTTCCTTTAAAATTTTCCATTTTAAGTTGGTTATTTCTGATTTATATTTAAAAGCAAATAATAATGATATGGTAGGAGATACACACCAAACAGGATGTGTAAATTATTATATAATAAGTATTGTGCAATAGCAAGAACTTTTCAATTGCACAGTATTGCACAATAGCAAGAAATCTTCAATTGCACAGTATTGCGCAATAGCAAGAAATCTTCAATTGCACAGTATTGCGCAATAGCTAGAAATATCCAATAGCACAATATTGCGCAATAGCAAGAAATTGTCAATTGTACAGTATTGCGCAATAGCAAGAAATATTTAATTGCACAGTATTGTGCAAAAGAAGATACTTCGTATAAATTGCTTATTTCTTGACCAATTTCAATGGGGTTTTATTCTTGAATTCTTGGGGTTCTTTAATATGCTGAATCTTACCGTGTATTTAGTTTTTGGATTTTGGGCCCCGTTTTTAAATTGGTCCACATTGAGGTCCAAAGGGTCCAAAATTAAACTTTGTTTGATTTCATCAAAAATTGA